TTGAAGGGGGTTGGTTGCTCCGTTATATGCATGCTAATGGGGCAAGTATGTTTCTCATTGTGGTTCACCTTCATATTTTTCGCGGTCTATATCATGCGAGTTATAGCAGTCCTAGGGAATTTGTTCGGTGTCTCGGAGTTGTAATCTTCCTATTAATGATTGTGACAGCTTTTACAGGATACGTACTACCTTGGGGTCAGATGAGCTTTTGGGGAGCTACAGTAATTACAAGCTTAGCTAGCGCCATACCTGTAGTAGGGGATACCATAGTGACTTGGCTTTGGGGCGGTTTCTCCGTGGACAATGCCACCTTAAATCGTTTTTTTAGTCTTCATCATTTACTCCCCTTTATTTTAGTAGGCGCCAGTCTTCTTCATCTGGCCGCATTGCATCAATATGGATCAAATAATCCATTGGGTGTACATTCAGAGATGGATAAAATTTCTTTTTACCCTTATTTTTATGTAAAGGATCTAGTAGGTTGGGTAGCTTTTGCTATCTTTTCTTCCATTTGGATTTTTTATGCTCCTAATGTTTTGGGGCATCCCGACAATTATATACCTGCTAATCCGATGCCCACCCCGCCTCATATTGTGCCGGAATGGTATTTCCTACCGATCCATGCCATTCTTCGTAGTATACCTGACAAATCGGGAGGTGTAGCCGCAATAGCACCAGTTTTTATATGTCTGTTGGCTTTACCTTTTTTTAAAAGTATGTATGTGCGTAGTTCAAGTTTTCGCCCTATTCACCAAGGAATATTTTGGTTGCTTTTGGCGGATTGCTTACTACTAGGTTGGATCGGATGTCAACCTGTGGAGGCACCATTTGTTACTATTGGACAAATTTCTTCTTTAGTTTTCTTCTTATTCTTTGCCATAACGCCCATTCCGGGACAGGTTGGAAGAGGAATTCCTAATTCTTACACGGATGAGACTGATCACACCTGATCAGTGAAAAATTCTGACACCAATCATTTTCGAGTGAGTATTACACCAAGAATTAATTGACAAGCGGATGAGTTTTCTAGTTGGCTATGTTGATATAGCTTAGATAGGGAAAAGATACTATATATAGGGTAGGGCTGCACTTTTAAATCCGGGGCTTTGTTCCCGAAACTCCCCCTTCCCCCTCCCCGTCCCTTACTCGTCTTTTGAAAGCCAGAACATTCGCATAGAGGAGTATCTGTATCACGCATGCTCCTCCACTGATGACAAAATGACCTTATATCCTCCTCTAGGAATTCCTACCCGGGGAAAGAAGTAGAAGAGTATTCTGCATGAATATGCTTCTGCACTGGGAATATCTCATAGTGGGAAGGCCCAGAGATCATAAAAGATGGGATGGGAATGAAGGCATTCCAGCCCAACATAATCCGGTGAATGGGTCGAGAGAGATAGGGAGGGGGGGAGGGGGGATACAGGAAGTATAGTGAACAGTTAAGTGGCTATCCAAGCATTCAATCGGCTATGGAGGGAGGTTTCAGCAAGCGGGTAAGCCGATGATGACTAGTAAAAACTTAGGTAGGTCGATCGTCGCTCATCCCTCGTGTTCTCTCCCGTGAAGTGATTAATCCCTAAAGTGGGCATGCAATCCCTATGGAAAAGCAAGTATTCCGATTGGAGGAAATTTCCACCCTCTGATGATCCATTCCGCCCAAGACAACACAGAGGATGAAGAGTTTGTATAGGACGAGAGCTAGCCTTTAGACGAATCAAGGATGACCTCTCTGAGGCACCAGTGCTAATGCCTCCTCGGCCCGGAAGAACCACTACGGCTATACATATCAGCCTCAAACGAGTCGTTGGGAACATTCTTATCGCAGAAGAACGGAGAAGGAGTGGTTTCCCTCTCTTCGGGAAGTGAGACAGACGACTATTTTCATAGAGAGAGAGCACTAGACCTGACTAAACATCATCAGCGAGAAGTCACGTCTTGCTTGCTAACACAATATCTTAAGTAGTAAATGGTAACTTCACTACATCCATTCGCCTTGACCGGATCATAGCGTTAGCGGAGTAGGGAACTCCCCCTAAGAACCGATCGGCATGTTGACCTGCTCATCCGCGAGTATGCTCTTAACATGCGTTTAATCGGTTTCAGTGATTGAATTCGAGTCCTACAGAGCGAGCGTGCCATCAAGTATCAAGTAAAGATAGGTTTGAGAAATAACTCTATATAAAAAATCAGTGGTGCATTGTATCCGCTCTCAAGCTGTAGTTGATTGATGTAGTTGCTTGTAGTTTTCTTTTATCATCGAGATTGGGTTGGTGTTCAGTGCCGTGGGTACAAGATCGAAAAGAATGCTTTGCATTACAAGTGAGATGCCCAAGATAAAAGGATCCGAAGGAGCTCGACTGCCAAGGAAAGGAACATCGGCTCTAACCAATGATTGCCAGTTCCTAAGCTCCGGCCTAAAGACAACTGCCTTCTCAACCCACTCGTACGGCTCGTTCACAACTCTCAGGTCCCACCCGATTTCTGATAGAATTGCTGGTCTGCTCCGCTGTAAAAGCCGGCATTTATGGAACTGTTGCCACCAAGAATGTGTCCTCTGGCGTTGGGGACCCCATCCTCGGCTTGGGCATGGGAGTCAAATGTATCAACCTCAGTGAGTGTGGCCAAGAATCTTTCTTGGGTCATCAAATTGGGGTTGCCATAGGGAACGCCACCTCGTTCAAGCACAAGAACTCGATAGGACTGTGACAAGGTGGCGGCCAACGGACAACCGGCAGTGCCACCTCCTACAATTATATAGTCATAGTAATCCTCCGATGGAAAGTTTTTGGCGTTGAACACAAACTTTATATAACTTGGATCTGGTGCAGAAATTCAACAAAAATGATTAGCTTCTATTTTAAAAACTGAAGCAAAACAGACGACAAGAAAAGATAATTTTTATGTTCTAATGAATGTCGTTTAGGTCTAACTGTATTTAACTCATGTTAAGTGGAAAATGGAAATTTCTTTTTTTTGCATTTAGCAACCAAACGGCTTGAATTGATTTAAGCGCTTAACTCTTAGCTCTAAGACTGAATAAGGCATCTACGGATATGAGTTCGGAATCATAAGTAGGAATTTCTTGAAAGCCGAGAAGCGTTATAGGGCGAGGGGCCTAGCGTCTTTCTCGGAATAGCTATCTAAAGTACCCAAGCCAAGGGCAAGGTTGATTTTTCCTATAACTCTATCAATTCCGATTGAATGCCCATCTTTAGAAAGCGTTTACCCCGCAAGAGAGGAGGATTGATGGACATAGGCTGCAGATGGACCAGAATATGCTGTGGGACTTCTGACGTTCGTTCCTCCTTATCTTGCCCGGTAGGTTGTTACAGAAAGAGCCAAACCAAAGCAAAGCAGGGACTGATTCCACATGGGGAAAGAAAGGAGTCGGGCTAAATAGCGTAGATAAGAGTTTTCAAGTTAGGCTTTTTTGAAAGAAAATGCCTTTTGTTGTTGTCGCGTCTTAGGGTCTTATCGGCTTTGAGGCTAGTGACCTTCTCCGGTCTGTGATGGAAGCAATCTCTCTCCGGTCGGTTCGACTGTTAATGGTTTAATGAATATCTCCTTAGGAAGAAAAGGCTCTTTGGCTCTTTGCAATAAGCGCTGTTCGAGGAATAACCACATCCGCTGCTGTGAAACGGTCTTACAGTAAGCGCTCTTAGGCTAATAACCGCTGTTCGTTAATCTAGCGTTTTCGATTTTCACTAATCCGAATCTAGGGGTTGTTCACGAATGTCCTCTTTCATAAGAGCAAGGTGGTGAGTAGGCAACGTCGTTTTTAAGTCATTGATAGACCTCTCCTACTATACAGAAAAAGAATCCGATTATGTTATGTGCATTTTGCCGGGCTTAGCCCTAGATACCCTCCCTACCCCTTTCGACGCAGCAATGAGAACAGCAGGGGTTGCTTTACTTCTTGGCGGAGGAGTGAGTGACTCTTCTTCTTTTAGGCTGGCATGGTCTTAGAATGCACGATAGAAGTGCGGACTAAGAGCTGTTTAGCGGGATAAACCCTGTGGGATAACGGTTCTTTTAAGGCATACCTCTCTTTCTGATTCTGACTGTCTTGCGAACCTTGCTTTAAAGCTTTCACGTGGGCAATTGATAATGTCAATATTCTAACTCCTTTTTCTTTTTCGGAGGACAGAAAGAAGACGATTTTCGGGCCAGACGATTTTTCCACTTTCATTAGACGCTCTCCTGGCTTTAGCGGAATAACAGCAGTTGGTAATATTATAGGTAAGAAAGAAGCCAATGTCCCTAGTATCAGGAAGAGGGTTGACGAAATCATAGGGTGCACATTCATATGATTCTAGAAATTCCTTTTTCATGTCCGTTCCCAGGCGAAAGACGGCTATTCTTCGCATCTCGAAATTAAATTCCGTCTTAGCCGTGGAAGGCAGAAATCCTATCCCTTCCAGCTCTCATCCTAGGATAGTCTCAAGCAGAGGTCTTACAGGGAAGGGAGTTAGCAAGCGAGTAAGGTTCATCAGCAAGAGTTAGGCCAGGGGGAAGCTCACTCCTGTCCATATGATATGGCTTTTCCCTTTCAATGGGTCATGTTTAACTCAGCCTATGCCCCACCGCCTCACGAATAGAAGGGTAGAGAACGAGATTCCATTCCACGGAGATGCCTAACGGCCACTTTGGTCCCCCACCTCAAGCAAGAAACGAAGCCGAAGAAGAAAGGCTCTAAGAGACCTGTTCTTTTTTTTCTTAGCGGCTTGATCGAGCAGCCTTTTAGATAGGATAGCGAAAGAAATGTCTAGCAAGCGGGGTTGGGTACTCCCGTATCCCCCGCAGCAGCCATAGCCGGGCAATTAAGGTGCTTTTACTTGTAATTCTTATTAACGAACAATCAGAAATGCTAACCTTGTTTCATCCGAAGAGACGAATAAGAAAGCAGATCGGAGAACCCCAGGCATGGAATGTTGGTCGAGGCTAAGGGGAACTCCACCTACTCGCTCACTTGTTAGCAAGGTTGGAGTCCTTATCCGCATCTATCTTACTAAACGGAATCGCCCTAATCGAAATTTCGATGGATTGCCAAAAAAATAGAGCATATCGCACCCCAGAGGGGGCCAGTACCCGCACGTAAGGACTATTTGCCCGCTGCCACAGTTAAAAGCACGGATCGAACGGGGTAAGTATCTTTGTCCCTTCCAAGTCAACTTTGTCTCTGAATGGGGATTTAAATACTTATGGGGGGTTCTTTTTAGTGCCCGCTACTATTCTCAGGATAGAATGTATGAGGCAAGAGCATGTTGCTCGCAGTTTGCATTTCTTCGGGGGCGTGAGTCAGTGAAACCCGTGTTGTTCTTCCCCCCGTTCCCTCATTGGTTTATCAGATCCTCCATCTCTGGAAAGAGAAAGAGAGTTCGGAAGAAGATTAAGGGAGAATAAGTAGAGGAGAGGATGGTTAATCAAAAGATAGATGGCCGGGTTAGAGCTTGCTGGTTAGCTGGGCGAGAAAATAGAAAGAAAAATAGAGAGATGGAAAATGAAGTAAGCTTGAGCCTGCGGAACCAGTAATGGATCAAAGCAAAGGATAGCTTTTTAGCTGCGAGCGGATGAGCGAGAAATGGAAGTGCCTTGTTAAGCGGCTCCTTCCTGCCCCTTACCCCTTGGTGTAAATCGGCTTGGATTCTTCTGCTTTCTCATCTGCTCCAGTCAATGGTCTCTGCTCGAAAGTCCCATTGCATGAAAAAACTCAAAAAAGAATAGGTGATCGTAGGTCAGCCCGTAGGTAAGTTCCGGTCTTTCATTGAGATTTTCTCGTTCATGATCTCTAATCCTTTGAGTAGATTGGGCAGGGGTAAGACTATGCACATAGCTTCGGTTCCGTCTTGTTTGCCAAGGAGATATGGTTGCTTTTCCTTCTTCAGTAGGCTTTCCCGCAGGTTCGGTTACAGATAGGATACGCGGGTCAAAGGGAAGGCTTGAGTTCAGAGACGAAGTTGGCTTTGAAGGGACAAACTTTCAGACAGTTCCTTACTTTCTATTCTCTAATCTCTCGCTTCCGACTCCTATATTGAAACTCTAAGGTACGAAACTATATATTTAGTCTCTGTCCCGGACTACACAAATTCCATAAACCCCGTGTTTTTTGATGCAAATTGTGTCAAGAGAGTAGTTTCCGCAAGATATTCCATAGGTGGATTTAAGCGGAAGATCTGCGTGATCTGATCTTTCTTGAGGACTAGTAACTGGTCCTGTAGCTAGAAGTCCCCATGAGCTCCCTCAATTCCTATTGAGATTGAGAAAGGGTCCATAGGCTTCTCTCTCAAGAACATAGGCTTCTCTCTCAAGAACATAGGCTTCTCTCTCAAGAAAGCGGGTCTTAGTGGGTAGTATAGTGCCGTTCAAGCGTACTCCCTGCGGGTAGGGTCTAATACCCCTTATTGGCATGAGGAACTGGGCTCCCAATTCTTCATCCTCCTTTTTGAGCTGTAAGACCAGGCAAGGGATCCCGCTTAGTGGGTTCGAGTTCAGTAACAGAACCTCCTAGCCTGCCCTTTTTTAATAGATATCTAGGGTTGTCGGCACCCTTCCTCTCCCTCTCCCTACCTTTGGTCGAGCTAGTAAACTTCCTCAACTGGAGAGGGAAGAATAAGCTGCAAAGCTCTGCTGGTGAATAGCAGATGATGCTCGATTAGGTATGCCAATCCGGCAGCTTGAAGGCGCGTGTCTGATGTTTCGGTAGGATGTTGCTATGTCCGCTTTCAGCCCGTAAATCGAAGGCTGTTCTTCCCATAAGGGGGATGACGTTATAGGGTTCAAATTAAAGAATCTTATAGGTGGAACTAGACATCGAATAAATATTCGTGCATCTCCTAATCGGCGTTTTCTCATCTGACTTTGCTTTGAATCTCCCCTTTGATCTAGGGCGCTTCACACGAGAACTACTAGAAAAGGGGAAACCCCAATCGCCAATCGCATCGACAAAACAACGCCTGGTTGAAATCAAGGATTAGAATCCGTTCGCGACTTGGTTTTTCAGTTCAGATAATAAAACTTTCAAAGGAGATTCTAGACTTGCAATCAATCCCTTTTCTTATTAGGCTGAAACCGAAAGCAAAAGACCTCTTGGTGTGGGGGCACCAGATCTCCACTTAAAATACTAGGAATTCTTAAACTGACTAGCAAATGTAGGGCTTCCCAGGGGTCTAGGAAGGGAAGCTACGAAGTCTTGGAGGTGGTATCCATGTTCATGAATATCTTATCGAATTTGCAGGTTTTCGTTCAAGAGCCGGTAACTGAGAGTGGCAGCCTGTAATCAATTTGGCGAGTACGGCAGATTGCTTTCTGTTTTTATAAGAAAGACTATCTTGCTTGGGGAAGCTCTTTCACTTCTAGAAGCCTATAAAGATGGATCCGCGCCTTTATGCCAGCGGGACAGATCTTGATGTATGGTACTATGTGAGGAAAAGTATGTGAACCTTGTTACCATACCAATCAATAGGCTGTCGAGAACGGGAAGAAGACTTCGGCGAAGAAGAGGTCGCTACCAGCAAGAAGAAAGATAAGCGGGCATAGGCTGCTTTTGACGTTGGTCTGGCGTAGCCAGTTGGCTAGTTGGTTTCTTAAGTCTGTTTACTCCGGATCGATCTCACGAGAAGAGCTCCCGACCTCCCATACCTCAGGTGATGCACTTATGGATCACTTGTACGGAACAGAATACGCCTCTTGCTCCTCCTAATGCATTCGTCTGTGTAGTTGATGTAGTCTGGTTATGAAAAGGAATCAGTCAGAAGGAAGGGCTCTGTAGAGCATGGGGAACGCTAGTTCAGGATTGCCATGGTTCGGAGGGTGGGTGACCCTACTCTGCCAGACAAGACGTGTACCGGTCGTACCCGAAAGTGAATAAGGCACTCTTTGTCGGTCGCTGGCTTTTATTAGAACCAATTGATGCAGATCGCTAACCTACAAATAAAGAGACCCGCTCCGATCATCCACACAGCTACCATTTGTTTGATATGGTTTACCCGATGATCCAGTATTGGCTCATTCGGAGGGTGCCAATTCCCGATTCCTATACGTCCTATGCGTCGAGTGAGGCAGTTACCGCAAGTGATGAATCAGCTGCTACCGTGGAATCCTCGCCCGGAAGCTCAAGCTCCCCCAATGCCTTTAATCGATTGTACCGGCTCTCTTTTCGTCGAATCGTAACCGGCGTCTCGTTGAATTGGACGTAGTAGCAGTAGGAGAAGACGAAGAACCATACCGGAGACTCGGGTAGCCAGATAAAGGTCACCTTATCTCTGTCTCGTCACCTACGTGATATAATAAAAGGCTAGCTGCAGCAATCACTGGAAGCCCACTTAGGCACGCAATTCAACCCTCAGCCCAAAAGGGAGCTGAAACTCATGATAGAAGCCCACTTTCGTTAGTGAATATTCGACATGTCAAAAGATGTTTGTTTTACCCCCTTCTTCCTTAGCACAAGCGCTAAGCGATAATAATACCTTGCAATGAACCGAAAGGTGAGAGGCAGGGCTCGGTCTCAAGGTTCAAAGTCACTAGAGAGTAATTAGTTTGATTGGCCAACTGCACGAGTGAAAGGCGAAAGTCAAGATTACGTGCAACCAGGTGTAACGTGTCAAAGGTCACCGAGTCGTCGGAAAGGGGAATAGGTTGTTTTGCGCATCCAACAACTGAAAGAGTTTGCGGAGAAGGGTTGAGTTGCGTAATAGCAGATTCGTAGGTCAATAAATCGTTGGATTTGAAATCGAACTCTCCACCTTAGCACAAGCGCTAAGCGATAATAATACCTTGGGCGGATAGGAATTGAGACTTTAAATGGTCCGCTCTTCTCTCCTCGTGATCGAAGCTGACCCCAGAAGTTGGGTATTCCTTCTTAAGAGGACACTAAACCTCCCGATCTTGCTAGCCGGGCTCAGTCTTTCAAGATTCAATCTTTCCCCTTCCCCCCTTACGTAATAGGGCCTGGTCCCAGGGAATCGCTCTTATAGTAGGAGGTTTACTATGTCCCCAACTTCTCTTTATTAAGAGACTCGGTTGTGTACTATAAAAGAAATGGATTGTACCACAAGCGCTGATCCCAAAGAAAGGAGTTGGCTCTTCCTTAGCACAAGCGTTAAGCGATAATAATACCTGCATCCATGCATAAAGAATTAGGTTGTAGGGTCCTCGAAGCCCGCCCGCCAAAGGGCTAAGTCGAGCGATTCCTCTGGGGATCTAGCTAGCTATAGTATCACACGATTCTTTCATCTTCTTTTCACATTCATTCTAGGTGGAAAATCGTCTACTTTAGAAGGCTAAGCTAAGGCTTTCCTCTTTGTGAGGAATTCCCTCCAGGTTGTCCGCTTTATCGGGGTCACTCTAAGTCCGAACGCAGGACATCTTATTCACGAATTCTTCACGAACCCCTTTTCTAAGAGAATCGGTTTTGTACCCTAAAAGGTGAGTTCTTTAAAAAGACCTGCATACTATCTTATAGAGGAATTCATTGGTTCATCTCCTGGTTCTACCTCTTGATTACCTACCCAATGGGGACGGGACATAGGCACTCTTCTCTTCACCCAGGGCTTTCTTTCGTTTGTGTCTATCTATCTATCTATTATAAAGTATTTTCCTATCCTCCACCCCCTTAGACATAGACAGGCATTCCGCTATCCCGATTGTCTTACTGATTCTCTTCGCCAAGAAGAAGAAATAACTTTCCCTAAAGAGTGAGTCTTTGTATGGGTACAAGGATGGATTGCTCTTTGCCCGAGGGAACTCTCAAGAGAAGGAGGAGCAGCACATATTATTGCAAACCAGTTCTATTAGAAAATGAGTTCTTTCCGGAAAAAGACCTGCGTACTATCTGATAGAGGCAGTCAGTGGGGAATCTCGTTGTTATGACTGTTGATTGCCTACCAATCGGAGTCTGAGTAAATATAAGGGTCCCGTTAATCCCGAAACGAAAGTCGAAGGAACCGCGGTAACCCCGCCAAATAAAGAAAATCAAAGGGGTCACGCCTTCAAGCCCGTTAAC